AGAAGGATAAAAAGGGGGGAACCAATACTCTGAAGTAAAGGGGCAAGACTGATCTATTGAAGTTATGGTGGAGAAAGGAAACTTATCCATAACCAAGAAAAACACATTGTTTGGTTTTAGGTTGGAGTTTATGAGAATTATATGGCTTGAGCAAGGGATAACAATCCAAACACTTAAAGATGATAATATTCTAGTTTAGAACCAGAAAGAAGTTGAAAAAAGGAGAAATGTGAGAAGTAGTCTTACTAGGCATTCTGTTAATGAGATAGGCTGCAGTTGCAAAAGCATGAAACTAGAACTGAGGAGGTAAAGAAGCTTTTGGACATGAGTGTGAGGGCTATTTTTGATAGATGTCTTTGTTTCTTTTCAAATATTACATTCTTTTTAGGGGTATATTAGCATGACTTAATATGTTGAATGCCATGACGTGCCAGAAACTACTAAAAACTACCACCAATGTACTCACCACTTCCATCTGAATGCAGTACTTTAAGATTTATAGAAATAAGATTCTCAATATGTGCTTTGAACTTACAAAAGACAAGAAAAACTTCAGATTTGTACTTTAAAGGAAATATCCAAGAGTATCTAGTATAATCATCAATAAAGGACACATAGAATCTAAAACCATGTATTGAAGTATGAGGGGAAGGTCCCCATACATCACTGTGCACAATTTCTAAAGGAGATAGGGAAACAGATTTAGAAATAGGAAAAGAAAGCTTAGTAATTTTGCCATAGAGGCAATGTTTACAGGTATAATTTTTTTTATTTTGCTGAAGTACTGAAGGTGAAAGACCTTGACTAAGTACTGAATCAATATGATGTCCTAGTTGATTATGCCATAGTGCATAAGAGATTCTGGTGCCAAGAAATGCTGCAAGAGAAGAATATTTATGGTCTGAATGGAAAGTATAAAGGNTTTTGATAGATGTCTTTGTTTCTTTTCAAATATTACATTCTTTTTAGGGGTATATTAGCATGACTTAATATGTTGAATGCCATGACGTGCCAGAAACTACTAAAAACTACCACCAATGTACTCACCACTTCCATCTGAATGCAGTACTTTAAGATTTATAGAAATAAGATTCTCAATATGTGCTTTGAACTTACAAAAGACAAGAAAAACTTCAGATTTGTACTTTAAAGGAAATATCCAAGAGTATCTAGTATAATCATCAATAAAGGACACATAGAATCTAAAACCATGTATTGAAGTATGAGGGGAAGGTCCCCATACATCACTGTGCACAATTTCTAAAGGAGATAGGGAAACAGATTTAGAAATAGGAAAAGAAAGCTTAGTAATTTTGACACAGAGGCAATGTTTACAGGTATAATTTTTTTTATTTTGCTGAAGTACTGAAGGTGAAAGACCTTGACTAAGTACTGAATCAATATGATGTCCTAGTTGATTATGCCATAGTGCATAAGAGATTCTGGTGCCAAGAAATGCTGCAAGAGAAGAATATTTATTGTCTGAATGGAAAGTATAAAGGCCTTTGTTACTCTTGCCTTTGAACAAAACTTTGCCTAATGTTTTCTCTTGAACCTTGAAGGAATCAGATTCAAAAATGAAGACACAATTAATATTTTTTTTAACTGATAACAAATTTGTAGCTGTTGAAGGAACTCTAAGCACATTATTGAGTTTAAAAGTAACAGATGGATTAGTGAAGAAAGATTGACCTCTGTGTGTAATTTGTAGCTCATAATCATTTCCAACAGAAACCTTCTCATCACCAAAATATTGTGTGCTAATGGACAGTTGATTTAGATCAGGTTTTAAATGATAAGAAGCTCCTGTATCTATTAAGCAGGCATTTGGATTTGTTTGCTCTACTGAAGCTTTCATTGCATTGAGTTGTGGAGAAGGAGGTTTTCCTTGATAAGTATATTCCAATCTATGATTGTACTCAATAGTAGTGTTTCCCCTCTTATTGCAGATTTGAAAAATCAATTGAGCAGAATTGTAGAAATTCTGCCTTTGTGCACTTTGTTGTTGACCTTGAGGATGTTGTGAAGACGAACCAGAATTAAAGGAATTAGAAGAGTTAGATTTTCCTTGATAGTCTTGATTGTTTGTCTGATAACCTCAGTTTTTTTTATTGCCTTTTCCTCTATTATTGTTACAGCCTCTTCCTCTGCCTTTTTCTTACTGTGTATGGTTCTTGTTCTTATTATTGAAGAAATTTGTTTGAGCAACCACAACACTTGAAGAATACTAATTTTGATTTGCTCTTGCAGTTGACAACTCCAGGGAATGTTCTTCTGCCTTTAAAAGTGCATTCAACTCCTCAAGAGTTATAAGAATGGCTCTTGTACGTATTTTAGTTTTGAATGGTCTATACTTAAGTGGAAGACTATTCAGAGAATATATGAGAATATCTTTGTAACGCTCCAAAACCCACCCCCCAGACAACATTACAAACTAAAAATCATTCACATCATGAGAGCAACTAAATAATTCATCCTTAAAAAAATTTCATACATCAAAGGTAATCTTTACAATCTCGTTCCCAAAAAGAATATGCCAAAACATGACAAATATATCCCCAAAAGAATATGATCTCAAGTAAGATAATTACATCCCAAAAGAATTAAACATAAACTCGCAGCGAAATTACAAAAGAGTCTAGGCTTCANTGTAATTAACAAAGTTTAAAAATTTGAGAATATATAATTACTAATATTTGACATGTTAAAGTTGTACTCCAAATATAATAATAAAAATAAAAGATGCGTTAAAGTTTTAAAAAAGAGGAATCGAAAAAATGAAAACAATTATTTAAATTATATATTAGGTACATATTATTTACAAAAAAAAATGATGATTATTGACTATATGAGGATGCTTTAGCCTAAAAATTCACACAGTATGAGTGTATGACTAGATATAATATTTACTTATTATAAAATATTGAATCTTTTTTAAATTGTACATCATTATCACTATATTTACAATAAATTATATAATGTTATATATAAAATAAATTTTTTTGCAGCATGTCTCCCAACATATATGTGTCTTATTTTTTTTAGAAAATGCCGTGTCAGCGTGTCCGTATCGTGTAGTATCCATGCTTTTTAGTAGATGCATCATAATATATACTTTAGAGGCCTAAAATTTTATGAATAACTGCAGCTATTTCATGTCAATTTGCAGGGTTACTAAACTCAAAATTGGCAGCACATGACAAAACTAATTTTGTACTTATACAAACCCATGCATACATGTATAGAGTTACTATTCTCTTGACAAATCAGAATATGGTTGAAAGGCCATTTTTTCCTCGTTTGCTTTTTTGGCCAAGTATGAATGAGAGGCCACCTTTAAATGTTGTAATGGAGGCAGGTTACTGTTATTTTTATTTTTTTTTCCTCATATATATCTGTGGTACTTGTTAGTCCTGGGGGGAAGAGGTCCTTCCAGGTGAAAACGTGCTTGCAGATTGAGACGCTGACTTAACAAAGTGATTTTATTGGTGTATTTCCTTTGTGTTTATGATGTTATGTGTGCTTTATAAACTCATGCTATAGAAATTTATTGCTGTAGGTTTCAATCTACTAAAACTGACCTTATGCTTAGGCTTGAAGGCCTTGTACCTAAATTAAATGGGCAAAGTTGTTCACTTATGGCATTGGGATGCAGCTCATGCACCTGTTTTCTAACATGATTCACCTTTTTAATTTATGGGAAGCAATTGCCCAATATGTAGATCGGCCTTTAGGTATTTTGAATTTAGTAAGCTGGTATCATTCACCCACTGATATTTTTTCAAAGAGCTGATGTTGAAGTGAACCCACTCACTCAGATAGGAGGATGAATTAAACATCTGAAGGCTGCAATGTTGTGCAGGTTGGCCTATCTGTGTATGTGTGTGTCTATACGTGCACGCTCGTTTAAAGGTCTGTTTTAAAACTGACCCTCATAATAATTCTGCAGTCCAGATAACTAAACAGGCTCATTGCATGCATAAGATTCTGACATAAATATCTTCTAGAAGCCATATATTATATCCGATTAAGTAGCCAGTGAGAAGTTGTGCTTTGTGCCAAAATATCTGTACACACCTAAATGCGTAGGCTCATAACTGCCATTCATGGAAGTTTCTGTGTTGTCCTCTTCATGCTAGTAAGATAGAGGAATAATTTTGAGGATGATGTATTCAGCCTTACCTGAATTGTCCCTAGCTGTCCTTACTCTCTTTGATCAGTGATCTACGGTGAATTTCGGCAACAGATCATCGCACTTACCAGTGATCAATCTCTCTCCATACATTTCCACAGATTTTAGCTATATGGAGCTCACTTTGAGCTTCTACATGCCTGACTTTAATGGTTTATTTAGGTGTTGCCATGCAGATAGAATATGGCGGGGAAAGGCTCCAATTTNTTTGAGCTTCTACATGCCTGACTTTAATGGTTTATTTAGGTGTTGCCATGCAGATAGAATATGGCGGGGAAAGGCTCCAATTTCCATGAAGAAAATTCCTTCTTTGACACCATTTATATTTTCTTATGATATTAATGACTTATTAGTGGGACCTTTTCTGGTGACACGAATGTGTTTGATTTCCTTTTTTAAGTGTTTTTATTTTTAAGCTACTGTATGCTGTTTCCAGCTGGTTTGTTTGATCTATGTAATCTTATGTCTTAGGAGTGAAGGTTGAAAAGTTCTTGCTTTTCAGGACACTGTTTGACGAGGGGTTCATGGTTCATATTTGGGTCAAGGTGGTCATAGTAGGCCTTGAAGAATCCTTGTGACTAAAATTTTTGAAAGTTTTTGGAATCCTAGCCTTGATAGATTTAGCAAGCACATCGATCTATGAATATATATTCCATATATTAAATATGGTTGAATTTTAGAAGACGGAGGTTGTGTGATGAAGCCCGAGGAATTTTGTGAGATTGCTTGGGTATTCAAATTCTTCTTCGTCTCCGGAATTAGAGTAATTATTACCAGCATCAATCTCTAAGTTCATTCGAAGATCTGTATGTTCAAATCCGACCGTTTTATTGTCCTTTCTGGTAGGTATTTAGTTAAGCAAACTTTGAGTATTTTTTTTCCTGGAGATTCCAATAATCATGTCATGCCATTGTAGCAAATATAACTTTAAAAACAAGCCATTTTTGTTCCTTTTCATTTTCACGATCATTCCGTCCTTTTCAACCCTAAACAACAAGCTATTCATAACAAAAATACCATAAACTTGATCTTCTACACCGTTATTTGACATTTCTTTTCCATCATACATCAATAAGGTTTCCTTCATTTGATTTGATGTATGCCAAATTGCCTTAATTTTCTATCATGCTATTTTTTGATAGTGTTCTTATCAGAGTTTGGTACCTGTAATTATTTAAAATGTGTATGTCAGTTTGATTAGAGGATAATAATAGAGCTGTGGTTTCCATTCGGTAAAAATTAGAGAAGTTTTCTAAACTTGTATGACTTCTACTCAAATAAAAGTTTGCATGGACGCATTTCTTGTTCCTAGCAGTAGAGTTGCCTTCCTGGTTTTCTTGTAGCTGGATCCTCTGGAACCACAAGACAAGCTGGTGAACAAGCAAGGCCGAAACCTTTGGTCTGACCCATATAGTGGACATGGGCATGCTAAAGTTACCTCTTCAGCTTCATCCATATTAGGATGGCTCAGAAGCATCTTATTATGTTCCTTTGTGGCATGTTGTTAGTTGAGATTACTTCCTTGTACTCCTCCTATTGCGGCATAAGGTTGCACGCACCTTATCTTCCCTAGACTCTGCAGTGGTAGGAGCCTTGTGTACTGGGTTGCCCTTTTTTAATCCATTTTGCAAATTGCCTCTAAATGCTTTTGATAGCCGTTCATTTCGTGTCTTTTGAAAATTTCATCGTGTATACAGTATGACAGTGAAATATAATTATACAAAGTATAATTGCCAGACCCAACTTACTCTTTTGGAAAATAAATGTGCCTTGTTGACAGGTCGATCCCCAGACCTTGAATCAGTAGGCTCTGGGACAAAAATGTCCACCGTCTCATCAGGTGGTGGGCCTCAGGATCGAAAGGAGTTTCTTCGTAGATTTGTAGACTGTAAAATTCTAGCTTCAAACCTTGAGGACTGGTTTGAAGAAATAGCTGAAAATTCAGCATACAAAACACCTGCTTTTGACGTTCCATTCGAGTTGATAGATCTTCAGAAGTTTGATTATGCATTGGAAGGGGTTTCCTTTCAGCAGCTGATTAGAATGCCAAGTGCTGTTTATGCTTCAGCATCTGGTGCCGTGGAAGCAACCACTTATCTTGCTATCGAGGATTTTCTTCATGCAAGTGTAAAGGGCTTGTGGGAGGCATTTTGGAGTCTGGATGAGCCTATGCCTTTTTATGTCCCCTGTCTGTACGACGCAAACTTAAAATTCTACCCCGTTGAAAAAGCAATTGCTAAAGGGAAACTTGGAGGTCTCAGTGCCACGGCTGTAATGTTAAAGAACCCCAGACATCCACATGGGAAGTGGGATGATGTTCTTGAATTGGCACTTCTAAGGCCTGATATTGGAAGCCTCGGGGTTGAGGCTGGGCATAAACCTTTTCTATCAGTTATAGGTGAAGCGCTATTTTATGCACTTCGCGTATTAGTATCAAGAAACATCAGCAGGTCGAATATTCCTCTGAGTTTGAATTCTGTTTTTGTTCTTCTCGTCGATTCTCAATATGGTGGGGTTGTGAAAATTGAAGGAGATGTGAATAAGATGGATTTTGATGCAAATAATGTTTATGGATGTGCTGCTGAATGGATTAAAAATTATTCACGAATTTCAGTTTCCCCAATTGATAGGATCTGGAACAAGCTTGGCAATGCTAACTGGGGAGATATCGGTGCTCTACAGGTACTTTTTGCAACCTTTCATTCAATCGCACAATATGCTGGAATGCCCAAGAACTCAGTTGAAGATTTAGCTGCTGACCACAGTTCTCGTCTTCAAACAAGAAGAATTGAGAGGCAGTTGGGGGATAACAGAGTAAATGGAAATGGTGTATTCCGGTTCCAGCAGGGCAGTGTTTCCCCTGAAATTGTTGAAGTCCAGGAGGAATCCCTCAGAATAGAGTCTGAAAAGTCAATGAAACTAGAAGTAGGATCTGTCCTATGGCTGGAAGATTCGAACTGGCAAAAGGGTTATCAGATTACTGGACTGATCAATGATGAAATCTCATATTATATTGCCTCTTCTGTTGAAGATACGGGGAAGGCTCTGTTTCTGTATGTTGGCTCACATCCTTCTCAGCTGGAACCGGCATGGGAAGATATGAAATTGTGGTATCAGGTTCAGAGGCAGACTAAAGTATTGACTGCTATGAAACATAAAGGGATATCCTGCAAGTATCTCCCACAACTGCATGCATCTGGAAGAATAATTCACCCTGGTCAATGTCGGAGACCAAGCTCAGGTGGAAACTGTGATCACCCTTGGTGTGGGACACCAATCCTTGTAACCAGCCCAGTTGGTACGACAGTTTCGAATATGGTGAGACTTGGCCAATTTGGCTCAGAAGAGGCTGTTAGGTGTTGCCATGATTGCTTATCTGCCCTTTCCACTGCCACATCTGCTGGAATCCGACATGGTGACATCCGGCCTGAGAATGTTATTTGCGTGAGGTCTGGTGTGAGGCAGCCTTATTTTGTCCTTGTTGGTTGGGGGCATGCCATATTAGAAGAGAGGGATCGTCCAGCAATGAATCTTCATTTCTCATCTACTTATGCCCTCCAGGAGGGGAAGCTATGTGCTGCTTCAGATGCAGAGAGCCTGGTCTATTTGCTTTATTTTGCTCTGGGTGGGGATTTGCCTGACATGGATTCAGTTGAGGGGGCTCTGCAGTGGAGAGAAACATCTTGGTCAAAGAGGTTGATTCAGCAGAAGCTTGGGGACATCTCTGCTGTCTTGAAAGCATTTGCTGATTATGTTGACAGTCTATGTGGGACGCCGTACCCTCTTGATTATGATATTTGGCTAAGAAGGTTGAGGAGGCATATACATGAAGACGACCATGGGAAGGCCATTGATACATCAAGTTAGGTTTGTTTCCACCAGCTGCAGCGGTAGATTGGAATACTAGTACTTCATGAGATTGGTTTCTACAGCATAACAACTGGAGCTTGTAGTTTGGCTGGGACAGTTGGTTTAAAGTGCCTTTTCTTCCAATTTGAGTGTGTCGACTTTGTCCTCTGGAGCAGCTAGAGAGTAATTTATGTTTTCTTGTTTGATGGTTGGTTGCTCCTTGTTCCATGTTTGCACGGACAAGCCATATTACCTGAGCTTTCGACGACTACCGAGGACACAATGCCCGTTAATCATCTCGTGCTTGTTGTGCATGCAGTTTTGTAGTACTGCAGAGGATATAAATTTCCAATGGTTTTGCCATTGTGATGGTTGTTAAAATGTTGTATCGACTCATTATTTCCTGTAAAGATAGGAGGTGTTGAGATCTTTGTGAGATGTGTGATTGTTTAGTTTGTGGATAATGGCATGTAAGGGGTATTTTGTAAATGGCTTTTGTATCTTCTGCTGTTTCTCTCAGATCCACACACTATCTATTACCTTCCTTTTATGGCCACATGAAAAACCACAAAAAATATAAATTGGAAAATTACTCACCCCGTCGTTGTGGTTTTGCTGGAATGAGATGTTACATATTTCTATTTTTCTTTTTGATTTATTTTCATTAAGGAAAAATACAAAAACAATTAAAAAAAAAAATTAATGTCTAGTTGGACATTTATTCTAGGATTCGTTGTGGGTGCTTTGTTTTTTCTTTGTTGTTGCATGTTTATGCATATTTTTTTAATTTTATGTTATATTAAAAAATACAAAAACATTGAAAAATTAAAAAGAAGAAGATTATTCTCTTGTTTGTTTTTTATTGTTAATCATGGTAATCAATCTTTTGTTTGAGATATAACATATCAATTTTTAAATCAAATTGAACATTCTTTTACATGTCTAAAATAGAAATTCAATACGACATAATTCTATTGTTACGAAGCGACCTAGTTTCATTGCCAATTCAATTTTTTTTTATTATGATATTGTGAAGTAAATTTCATATGCATGTAGTATTATTTTAGCCCATTTTATTAAAATATTAAATTTAAACTTATAAAACTCTAATGCTCCGTTGATAGGAATGATGAAAAGTATGAAGGATGGAAAATATGAGGGATAAATTTTATATTCTTAAAGGATGAAAAATAGGAATGATACACTTCCCTTCCTTTGTGTTTGATTGGATTGATGAAAAATAAAAATGACCAATTTTTTTTGTCTAATATTGGAGGTTGACAATCGAGTCGTGTTGTGTCAGATACATGCTGAGTCATAAAATTATGAGCTTTTTATATTTTTTGTTTGCGTTTCAGGTTATTTTCAAATTCGTGTTGAGTTATAATCAAGTTCGTGTCATAAAATTCGTGTTGAGTTCGAGTCGTGTTATCGTGTTGAGTCGAAAATTTTCACCCTTAGTTAAGATGAATTTTTTTTTTTAATTTAAAATTTGTATTTGTATTTGTATTTTTTAATTTTTTTAATATATATATATATATACATATTTTATCATTGTATTTTTATATAAAATTAATATATACATAATATATAGACAAATAAGATACATCTCAACACAAATAATTAACTTTTCATTCACTTTCTTTTTGATTTTAGAGGAATTGATTTTGGTGAGTTGGAAGAAAAATTGATCAATTCACTTTTCCATCTTTCCTATTTTTCTTCCTTAACAAACATAATATCCTTCTAACTTTTCGTCATTCTATTTTTTCATCATACCAAACAGAATATAAGTCTAACTAAATTAAAACTTCTTACGGAACTAGAACACGTGCCATTTATGTGCTCGTATTAGAGTGACACGACGTGATTCTAATCCCGTTACAAGGTTAGACAACTTTAAATTTGAAAATCACATAAACTCAAATTTAATTGTTGATGAACAAAATTAATTGTAATGAGAAAGATCTAACGTATACACAAACATAGGCAGTTAGACACCGATTGAATTAAATTGGACCCCGGGAGTCTTCTGTGGGCCCCACCCTATGGGTTGGGGGGGGGGGGGGACCCTT